CAAGTGGGGGAACAAATAACAATAGGGACATGGATTTCCCAAGTAGGGGAACACATATCACTAAGGACATGGGTTTACCAGGAAGGGGAACAAATATTACTAGGGATATGTGTTTCCCAGGTAGGGGAACACATATCACTAGGGTTTTGTGTTTCCCGGGTAGGGGAACACATATTACTAGGGATATGTGTTTCCCAGGTAGGGGAACAAATATTACCAGGGATATGTGTTTCCCAGGTAGGGGAACAGATATAATTAAAGGGATATGTGTTTCCTGGGTAGAGTAACACACATCACTAGGGATATGTGTTTCCCAGGTAGGGGAACACATATCACTAGCGTTTTGTGTTTCCGGGGTGAAGGAACATCTATCAGTAGGGATATGTGCTTCCCAGGTGACGGAAGACATATCTCTAGGGATATGTATTCCCAGGTGGGGGAACACCTATCACCAGGGATATGTGTTTCCCAAGTGGGGAACAAATATCACTAAGGACATGGATTTCCCAGGTAGGGGAACACATATCACTAGGGATATGTGTTTCCCAGGTAGGGGAACACATATCACTAGGGATATGTGTTTCCCAGGTAGGGGAACACATATCACTAGGGTTTTGTGTTTCCCCGGTGTGGGAACAAATATCACTAGGGATATGTGTTTCCCAGGTAGTAGAACACATATCACTAGGATATGTCTTTCTCAGGTAGGGGAACACATATCCCTAGGGATATGTGTTGGCCAGGTAGGGGAACACATATCACTAGGGACATGGATTTCGCTTTTTCTCCTCCCTTCTTTTTTCGCTTTTCTTGCCTCATTTTTTTTTTTCTCTTGCTGGGCATTTAGTAGGAGCCTTCATTTTGGTGGGAAGAGTTTTTAGGAAAGGTTTTAGGATCTTAGGATTAGGTGAAAGGAAAGGTAGGTGGGCAATGGAACAAGATTTTCAGGTCAATGTCACATGGTTTTTTGCTTCTTTCTCCGGTGTCCTTGACTGAATTGTGCTCATTCTGGTATGGTTTGAAAGATCTCTTCACTCTACACAAGTTAGCGAAGAAAGTTGTCCTTGACCGTTAAAACTGATGACGTCACAAAGGGTAGAAAGGACCTGGATCCGGTTACGGGCGGTTCAGGGGCGAATGGGTTAAGCCCACTCTATGCACATTGCACAACTGAATTATAAACTCTGTCTAAACTCTCTTTACGAAGAATCAAAATCCGAAATAGAGTTTTAGCTTAAGGGGAAACTGTTATCTCAGTTACATGTATCTATATACATTGTATCAGTCAAATCTAAGCTTCAACCTAACCCTCCCCCAGGCATACCCTAGTCATTTGACACCTTTGCTGTCCTGGGGAGGAGGGAATTTGATTATCAATCAACCATTTAAACTGTTAGCCACTCAGTTACATGTAAATAATCAAAGTTTCAGTTTGTCAGTTAAAAATCCATTCAAACAATTAAGCTAGTCAGTTAATCAGTCTACATGTTTGTGTGTATATAATAATATTACATAAAAAATCAAGAAATATCTGATTATAAATGCATTGAAGCGACGCAAATAGGTTAGAAAAATACTAAAATTTGCTTATAATTAAGTTGGAGTCACCTGAATCAAATAAATAATTATGGTATGTCACACATACTGGTAAATACACTGTATTACTGTAAAAGAAAAAACAATTGAAGAGTTTTTTACCTTGTGCCTAGGGCTGCTTTTTCTCGCTGACCTTGTTTTCTGATTGTATGACATTGTCTCCCAGGTTGCCATGCTATTCCCTTCATCAAGATTCCAAAATCCGTGACACAAAGCAGTCCATTACTGAAAAAAAATCAGATTGACAAAAATTAAATTAACATGTTTCAACTTCTGTTAGAACTTTCCCTTCTTTAACACATTGCATTGCATTTGAAGAATAGATTAAGGCTAACTGCAGATGTCTTGCACACTGATGCAAAGTCTGTTTTTGACAGCGTTGTAGAGTTGCAGTTTCCTGCATTTGCATGAGGAAAATTGGTTGCCATTTCACCAACTGTAAACATTTTAAACATTTTTTTTCTAAGAGAAAATAAACACTATCAGTCTTTCATTGCATTCTGTTAGAACTTTCCCTTCTTTAACACATTTCATTGCATTTGAAGAATAGATTAAGGCTAACTGCAGATGTCTTGCACACTGATGCAAAGTCTGTTTTTGACAGCGTTGTAGAGTTGCAGTTTCCTGCATTTGCATGAGGAAAATTGGTTGCCATTTCACCAACTGTAAACATTTTAAACATTTTTTTTCTAAGAGAAAATAAACACTATCAGTCTTTCATTGTACCCAGTGGAAGTTATGGGCTTGCAAGATCTCTGGTGTAATATAATTTATTACTCCCAGCTGACTTAATCAAAGAAAACAAAACATTATTAAAAATGAACCTCACCCTGACAATAGTCCATAAAACAAACAATAATAAAATATTTACTGCAGATACAGGGAAATGTCTGCAGTTTGCCAGACTGTCACTATCACCTTTCTTAAAGATAGGTGTTACCAAGGCTTTTTTCCAGTCATCTGGTACTTGGTGAGATGATAGGGATTATCTATTACTAAGGAGAGAGCTCCAAGGGGACTATTAGAGAACGACCATCAGGCCTTGTGTGGCTTAAGGTTGTCTATAATGGCTTAGCATTACCAGCAGTTGTTGTTGAACTGGATGGCATACATAGATGGCATACGGTTAGGCGTACTGTTAGGGTTAAGATTTTCTTGTGCTTTTATGAGGAATAAACCGCTTGATACCAGAAGTCAATTTCTGTTGAAAACTAGACCACAAAGAATCATTTATTGACAGATCACAGGCAGTAGAATGCACGACAGAGTCTACATGTGTTCTTTAAGGCATCCCAGTCTGTTTTTCTATACAAGGCAACCATCCTGCATTTTTGTTTGTTGAGTGTTACTTTGATTTTATACCCTCAACAAACACAGCATCATCATCACTAATACTTTGGATGACTTGAGTCTTGATGATAAGACTGTTGTTAGTTATAAACAAGTCTAAGACATTAATTACCCCGCCCACGAAAGATTAGTTATAAGTTAGACTAAGCCATGGTCATCAAGACAATCACCGAATTTTCAGATTAGCTCTGGGAAACAATACATTGGCAATAGGCAATTGTGCTTCCAGTCTTGAAAATCCAGGGAAGTTTATGTCTCTTGCTATCCAGATAATTATGTGATGAGGTATTGCCACCAATCTGTTGAAGTGATCTCTCAAAGTTTTCTAAACTTATGGCGTCTCCTTCATTCGGGTCATAAAGGCACAAACTTACAAGGTCTTACACCCCACTACATGTACTGTTTGTTGATATTAACCCAGAGGATTTCACACTCAGTCTCTTTAGAAAGTATATTCCCATGGAAAGAAGTTATAGCAACAAAACATTTGGGGTGGTAGCAATCCAAATCAACGCACATTCCACAACTGACATTATGAACTCTCTCCATGTGGAATCAAAATCCGAAATAGAGTTTTAGCTTAAGCATACATGTACCAGCTCTCTTCCTGAGCTCTTCGAAAAAATCATTTATTGACAGATCACAGGCAGTAGAATGCACGACAGAGCCTACATGTATTCTTTAAGGCATCCCAGTCTGCTTTTCTATACAAGGGAAACATCCTGCGTTTTTGTTTGTTAAGTGTTGCTTTGATATTACCCTCAACAAACACGGCATCATGATCACTAATACCTCGGATGACTTGAATCTTGATGATAAGACTGTTGTTGTTAGTTATAAAAAGTCTAAGACATTACATGTAATTAGCCCGAGTAAGATTGGTTATAAGTTAGACTAAGTCATGAAGGGGTGGCGAATGGTAAAATCCGAGACTCGCCAAGATGCCGAGATCCTAGTTAGAAATCCGAGCCCGAGAACCTTTGGTGAAAATTTTCGAGACTCAAAAAAGTAAAAAACAAACCATGAAAAAATGAGACTTCGAGACTTATCAAAAACGCTTCCGAGATTTTGAGATCCTGCCAAAATTTTCCAAGACCCACGTTTTTGAAGGTACCATCGGCACCCCTTAATGATCATCAAGAGAATCAGCAAATTTTTAGGTCAGCTCAGGGAAATGACACATTGGAAATAGGCAATTGTGCTTCCAGTCAAATCCGGGGAAGTTTACAACCTGTATGTCTCCTGCTATCCTGCTATCCAGATACCTATGTGATGAGGTACATGTATTACCACCAATCTGTTGGAGTGATCTCTCAAAGTTCTCTAAACTTATGGCACCTCCTTCATTTGGGCTATAAAAGGCACAAACTTACATGGTCTTTTACATTTAGTCTCTAAAGTATATTCCCAAGGAAAGAAGTTATAGCAATCAAACATTTTGGGGTGGTAGCAATCCAAATCCAGGCACTTTCCACAACTGAAATTATGCACACTCTATGCACATTGCACAACTGACATTATGCACAATCTATGCACATTGCACAACTGACATTACCCATGTGCACTCTATGCACATTGCACAACTGACATTATGCACACTCTAAGCAAATTGCACAACTGACATTATGAACTCTCTCCATGAGGAATCAAAATCCAAAATAGAGTTTTAACTAAAGTATACACATACCAGCTCTCTTCCTGAGCTCTTTGAAAAAAAGCTATAAAAGCAACTGACAAAGGATCCAACATTTTGGTTCTGAAACTGGTCTTGCATCTTGTACTAGATTCAAACAGTTGTATTTGGAACTCTGCCATGGCACAACAAACAGCTTCTGACCATCCAGGAGATGATTGCCATTTTAAGCAGTATGGCGGATAGCAGTGCTCCCACAATATCACCGATGAAGTCATCCAAGTGATCACGTGATCTTGACAGTCCAGAAACAGTGATTCTAGGCTCAAAGGGCTCCAGCCTCCATTAGAAACCAAAAACATATCAGACAGAGGGCACCAAAACCATCCACAATCGACTTCTTACGCTGAAAACCAGGTGAGCCAAATGCAAAAGGTCATTACAAGTCCTGAGGGAACACGCAAAGAACTCTACATGCCCATACGGTTTACAATACAGGCTGAGACCACATATACCTGTTGTACAGTTCGACAGAGAATTTCAGACCAACTTGGACCAGAACGGTCGCCTAGCCAATGCAGAACTATTAATGCTGAAGATAAAACAGCAGAAAAAGAACTTACATGTCCATGTAACAGCTAACAATGAGGCTATCCAGGCCCAACAGCAGTTACTACAAGACCTGTATCCACACTTGTCAGCAGAGTTCCTAGGCAACCAGAAACTTTGCTGCCAACAGAAGGGGTGACGAATGGTCTTTACAAGCATTCGCGAGCATGCTGAGCACTGAGATTTTTTTGCGAGCACGAGCAGAGATAAAAAATTAATTTTCCTTTGCGAGTAGCAAGCAGTTTAGAGAGTACAACTCGCGAGCAGCAAGCACTTCTTATACTTTCTGCTTTCAGTAATCCATATGGAAATCCTTTTCTTTAAAATAAAACAGAAAATATTTTAAAACAGGGTTTTAATTTAGAGTGCAACAAGTCCTTTGAAGCTAGTTTGAGTGACACCTTATCGAGGTCTAACCAATGACATCACATTTTCGCTTCACTTCATCACGCACGTGTTTGTACAGATTAGAAAGCAAAGGTCATGAGAAGAACAACCATGTATAACCATATAAGCTAGATTAGCTAATTTATTATTTTTTTATCATTGTCATTTATCGTGTGCATTTCCACTGAACTTGATAGCCATATTTATAGGAAATAAGCACCATACAGAATTACATTTACTTTAACCCAAACAAGGATTTACAAAATTTCGAGCAATATACTGACAAGAAAGTGAGCTTGCGAGCAACTGCAAAAATTTGGGGAGCACAAGCAAGCGAGCACTCGTTTAAATTTTGCAAGCAGTTAAAAATTTTCATGGACCATTTATCACCCCTAACAGAACCAGATCCAGGTCCAGGATGTAGAAAACTAGCTACCTAAGAAAGTTCAGCAAATTTGTAATCTCGCCTCCATGCAAGCTCAACTATCTGAGCTACAGAAAATGTTTTGTAAAGACAGTGAAGCAGTCAATGTAAGTAAACAAGTTCTACAGCATACTGGTGTGTCTTTTCTTGACTCAAAGGATTTCATAAAAAGTCGATAATTATATTAAAAAGGGTCAGATAAATAAGAAACGCTCTCCAGACTTAAAGGTCTTAAATTTATACCAACCCCTCCTGTTCCTAGCTCCAATAAATCCTTATTAAAGGATTTCAATAACTTCACTATGCTCCTTTAGATATATAATTATTGTAATATCTCAGCGAACGAGAGAAAAGCTATCGGCTCACTTGAATGTAATAGCAAAATCAATCTTAAAAAAGCTGATAAAGGAACAACTACACTATGAACCATGAACACCATCACAAAAATAGAAGAAGACTCACAACAATTATCTGATGATAAATTCTACAAGCCCCTTACGAATCCTATTGAGCTAAACACTGCCCAAAAAGTGAATCGAATAGTCAACGAACTATCCCTTCCAGGCAATATTGACACAATGACTCAAATGGTTAACAATCGGCCTTAACCAATCACGCATACCAGAATTTTACACACTGACAAAAATCCTTAAGAAAATACCAGTCGGCTGCAGACCAATCGTTTCTGGTAGTAGCGCGACCCTATTGAGCATTATTATGTCCAGTTTTGTTGACTCACTATTACAGCCGTCCAACCTATCGCACAAAAACAGGAGTCATATTTGATAGACACTACCCACTTCATCAAGTTTATTGAAGACACGCAAATCTCTAACGATGTGGTTTTAGTCACTCTAGATGTGAGTTATCTCTAAACAAACATCCCTCAAACAGAGGGTATTGACGCTTAAAAAAATTTGCCCTCATTATGAAAAGCACTATGAGCACAATTTGCCAATTCCCACAAACGATTACGGGAACTTTTACAGCTCATACTCGAAGAGGATTATTTCGTTAATTTAACAAAAGACACTATGTCTTCATACAAACACAAGACGTTGCTATGGGAACTATGAGAGGGCAGTTGCTTTCTCCGTTGATTTTATGGCAGACATATATAGAAAAACGACTGCTAATGGCTAGCCCCTACATGTATAAACCTTTGGTTTGGAAGAGATTTGTTGATACCTTGGCCAAGAGTCAAACATGGACCACCTAAAAGAAAAGTCAACTCCTAGTCTCCTGTGTAGCCTGTGTAGCAAGCGTTTCCGTTCGGAGCAAAGAAAGACCCGAGGAACCGGATTCTCTGGCCATGTGAGAAAAGAACAAGAGCCAAATACTGGAAACTGGGGAAGGGGGAGGGGAAGAAAGGAAATGTTTGCAGACAAACCCCTCGATTTTGAAAACTTGCATTCGCCAGTGAACATACATGTAGCGACTGATTGGCTCGGCTAGTTGAACAATATTGACATGTGTCGATCAAATTAAAGGTTTGTTTCATACTGAGAAGTCATGGATGGTACGTGACACGCAAATTAATTTTCTGTGGTTGTTGTATATTCTGGTCGGCAAGATTTGCCCTCCAATGCAAGAGCATTTTCATTGATCTCTTTTGAAACGTAAAGCTCTTCTTCTGACTAAATAAGGGTTTCAGGTCATTTAAGTTATTCTCCAAAGTGCCTCCTGGATATGAATAACTAAAGGCGATTTTCTTTTGTCAGCGAATGTGATGGTTTCCTGTAAAGTTTTGTCATGCTGGGTCCAGCTCGATGGTGTTTTTTTTGCAGTATGTTAAATTCTCTTGGATAGTGATTTCAGATCCAAATTTTGAAGAATGGATTGCACCTTAAACTGAAGTTACATCAACTATGGAGAACTGCATTGTGACTCAGTTGAGACTGCTGATTAAGCAATGATTGATTGGTAATAACTTTTTAATTGCGACTGTTTTGTTATTACCCTTTCTAATCAGGCAAGACCATGGTTTTGGTTCTCCACGCGAACTTCATCAGTTGCCGGGTTAGCTTTGTTCTTAGATGCTTTTACAAGAGCAACTCTAGTTGTCTGCGCCATGGCAAGAACAGTGATCCATTCTGTCTGTCAGAACTTTGACCTTGTACAGCCTGCATTGATCGTTTGCATTCATTGAGATTTCAACATTAATGCTATCCACACAAACCAAAATACAAAAAAATAATTTTGGTTTCACACACGCGTCCTCTAAATTTCATTTCTGCTCCACAGAAGGCCAAACATTATTTTTATTGGTCAATTTTAACAGCTGATGACAGCATCAAATGTCGGTGTGCAAACTCAAGCATGACAGGCCAAGTGGGTGGTTTTCAAAATCCTGGGGTTTCTCTGCAAGAGTTTTCTTCCTTTCATCCCCACCCCCTCCCCGCTCTTTCACTAGTGCCATTTTTTGTGTGGTCTTTAATTTACTCTCGTTCCTCATTCTTTGCTCCTAAACCACATGGAAATGCTTGTCTCGTGTGCCACGTAACCAAATATTAATTAAGCAAGGAAAATTATTAATTTAAAGCATTTTGCCTGTGAAAATCTGCCAGTAAATGGTTCCTTCTGTGAGTACCGGAGCACAGATTACGTAATACAAAAGTAATAAAAGACAGGAAACAAAACAACTCCAAATAAAGACTAATCCCAAGTGACCAAAAATACAAAGCTTTCCAGTACCTGAAGAAAGACCCCAGTAAATGCTGTCTGAAGCTGGTGGAGCTGTATTTATCAAGGATTCAAAGAAATGCACAAAGAAACTAAGCAGAGTTTTGATGGTTAAAGCCCTACCTTAACTCATTTCATCACATGTGAAGCATATATTATGGCCAACAGCCGATAAGTTTGTCGTAAACTGCTGCAAAGTCTCTAATTGTTTAAGTCTTTTAGGGTTGCATTCCCTACACTTGCATGAGGAGAATTGGTCACGATTAACCAGCTGTAAACATTCTAAACGATCATTTTTTCACAGAGGAAGTATCACATAATCAACTTTGCACAAGCGCAGTGCATGCACTCCAGTAAATGTTCCTCTACTGACCGAGCTTGTATTTCTAGAGAGTCGGAAGATTTTTAAAAACAAGTGTTTTAAATAAATGCAGATCTTTTCAGGAAGTAAACGTATCAGCCTTTCATTTCACCCAGTGGAAGTTATGTTGCTTAGAAACCTTAATTCAGCCCGACATCACAATAAATGAAGTCACAACAACCTGCTCAATCAACATCACCTCAAGAATAAAACCTTAAAGTGGCCGCAAACGAGACATGTTTCTTCTCTGCGCATTTCTGGCGGAAGGGGAAGATACTATTGTATTTTCTCATAGAGCAGTCTCTGCAGAAGAACGCCTTTTAACTTCCTCCAGCGCGACAACAGCCTCTTGGGCAAAAGAACGAAATTCATTGTCCGCATTACCAGCAGCAAAATATAAGGTTCACACCCCATCGAAATCCATTTATTATTATTGGCCAGGAATTAACTAGACCACAAATAATCATTTATTGACAGATCACAGGCAGTAGAATGCACGACAGAGTCTACATGTGCTCTTTAAGGCATCCCAGTCCGTTTATCTATACAAGGCAACCATACTGCGTTTTTGTTTGTTGAGTTTTGCTGTGATATTTATACCCTCAACAAACACACCATCATGATCACTAATACCTCAGATGATTTGAGTCTTGATGATAAGACTGTTGTTAGTCATAAAAAAGTCTAACACATTAATTATCCCCTTGCAAGATTAGGTACTGGTCAAAAAGTATAGGGGGGGGGGGTGGGCCGGAGCATTTGTAAATGTGGTTGATAAAAAACACGTGACCCACCCCTCCCTTCGGCACAAAAATGACTGACCCACCCCTAAAGCAAGGTTGGAAATTGCATGACCCACCCCCTAGTTAAAACATGGACGTTCGGTTTCCTTTTAATAATCCAATAAAGCCTTGTTCTGTACTTGACAAAATTTGTTGATACACTGCTACAACCAACATCAAAATCACAGAAATTATAACTTTCACTGAAAAGACGAATGTCAAAAACAGAACATTTCTTGTTTCAATGGACGTTATGAGTCTTGACACAAATATACAGCAAAACGAGGGTATATTGAAATTATCTGTCACAAAGCATATGAAAATTTCAACAAAGACAACCCATTCCTACACATTACTTGCCGGAAATGCTTAGATTAATCCTCAAATCAAATTCCTTCCACTTCAGTGGAAAGTACTATTTACAAGACCATGGAACTGCAATGGGCACAAAGACAACAGTTTTGATTCCTTTGCCAATATTTTCATGACATATATTGAAACAACAATTCTAAGCAAAACTGTCTTTAGAACAACAGTTTGGAAATGCCACATACACGATATCTTTTCCCTATGGGACATGAGTAAACCAGACATCGAAGCCTTCATTGAACAAGCAAGCTTAGATCACCTAACTATTGAATTCACGGCCAAAACATTTGACACTGAGACTGCGTTTTTAGACACGGTTGTATACAGAGGCACAAGATTCAAGGAAAAATCTATCCTTGATGCAAGGACACATTTTAAACAAACGGAAAGCTTCTTGCGCACACATTTCACCTTGTGTCACGTTTTTTCTGGCTGAAATTTTCGAAAAGGTAAGTTTTGATCCCTATAATTTTCGTATCACTAGACTTTCAGCTAGGAGATCCGAACAGACGAAAAATTTTTTGGGGATAAAAGTACGCCTATATCTACTGTTTAAATACTAAGATACGTTTAACAATGCTATGTTTAAGTGGTTTTGAACTATATTCTCGTTGTGTGCCCCCTATCTTTGATAGAAAACCTACTATCAGAAATAAAAGTCACAAAAGGAAGTCTAAACTCCTAAAACAAAACAACAAGGAGGAAACAGAAATATTGTCATTCGTGACCCAATACCAGCCCTCAGTGTCTACTATAAAGAAAGCTTGAATGAAAAAATGGAATCTTATACAAAACTAACTATAACTGCAATAAATTTTTAAAGAACCACCAATCATTTCCTTAAAAAAAGGAAAATTGTTAAAGAACATGCTCGTTAGAGCCGAAAAAAAAGGTTAACAGAGGGTTCCACGCC